CAATTTTTTCTGAGAGGCGCTCTTGCTGAGGTGATCCCAAGGCGTGCTGAAAAGCTTCGCATGGTTTCCGCACATGTGAAGTAGACAGGCAGCGAGTAAACCCTGTCCAACCGTCACAGGCAGCACGCCAGGGTGGTCAGCGCGGTGCTTATCAGCGGCATAGTTCCACTTATTGACCAGCTGGGTATAGACGCCAACAAACACAGCATTGTCTACTGTTTGAACTGAGTTTCGCTTCAGTGCAGACCTCACTGCTTCCTCAAGTGTAATGCTGCAGCAATCATTGGGTAAAAACATTTTGGTATAACTAGCATGCATGAATAAAACTGTAAGCTCAAGACGCACCCTAAACAGCGCCTATGCGACACTTCGCCACCACAATGGGAGCTGCCAGTGGCCTGGCGCAAATGTTGTGATCTACAGCCTTGTGAAGACTAAAATGGCACAGTACATTTCAAATGCAGCTTTGCGTTGCCTTGGTACCAGCTCACACGGACGAGCTGGGGCGGGACGAGCCTGAGAGTGCGCCAACCACCGGTGATTGGCACTGCGCAGCGCTCGAACTTACGGACTTGGTAAATTGATTGGTACTTAGGGACAAGTTCTGGGTCAGATATAGACAACGGAATCATGGAGAATATTTTGGCGAATCGGAAGGTGGCGGCCGCCGGCGTCGGTTTTGAGGGCGAGAGCCGTCGGGAGCTGGCGGCGATCTTTGTGCGCGCGTTTGACGACGAGGAGAACCGCTTCCCGATCGATTTCGACGACGTTTGGAAATTCTGTGGGATGAGCAACAAGGCAAATGGACTTCAGAAGCTCAAACGCATGTTTTTCGAGGGTACAGACTACGTAATCAAGACTGAGCGTGCAGTCAAACTCGAAGCAGAGGATGTTGGAGGAAGGCCGATCGATTTCTACAAGCTGACAGAGAGTGCATTTGAGAGCTTTGCCATGTCGGCTCCCGGAGAGCGGGGGAGACTGGTAAGGAGGTACTTCTTGGCGGTCAAGGAGCAGTACTTTGGGCAGCTGGAAGGCCTGGGCAAGAGGAACCGCGAACAAAATGACATGCTGGAGGATAGTGCTCGTTTCTTAGCAAAAGAGCACGATATTCTCGCACAGGAGCTGGACACCCGCCCCGAGGGAGCACAGAAGGCCGTTCAGAGGGATTTGTGCAGACTCGAAGGCGGGGCAATGGAGGTTGCGTGCGACCACGGTGTGGTAGACCTGCTGACCGACGATGAGGTGATCGAAGTGAAGGAGGCGCACATGTGGAAGCACGCTCTGGGTCAAGTTCTGGCCTACAAGGCCTGCTTCCCCAAACATGCAGCTCGGATCCATCTTTTCGCCAATGACCAAGGTGCTTCGCTGGATCTGGATGCGGTCTGTGAGGTGTGCAGCAACTCTGGGGTTCGGGTGACCTTATGTACTTAGGGACATAGGGCACTGCGCAGCGTTTGAGCTTAGGGGACTAGCTCACGTGATCGGTACTTAGGGACATAGGGCACTGCGCAGTGCATAAGCTTAGGGACTTGGTTATGTGAAGGATACTTAGGGAGAAGCTTTGGGTAAGAATAGACAAGTTCGAAGCAATGGAGGCAATCATGCGGAACCCCAAGGTGGTGACAGCTGGCAACGAATTTGAAGATAACGTGAAGCAAGACTTGGCTCTAGTTTTCATCAAGGCTTTTGATGACAAGGGCAACCAGTTTCCCATTAACTTTGATGACGTCTGGCGATTTTTGGAGTACTCCAACAAGGCAAGTGCACTGAGGAAGCTGAAGTCTCCTCAATTTATGGAAGGAGAAGATTATACTGTAAGTACCAGAAGGGATACAAACATCCAAGTTGAAAACCTCCGATTAGTGGATTTGGGAGGGAGGCCTGTCGATACTTACATGCTTACGGCCAACGCCTTCGAGCACTTTGCAATGAGGGCCCCGGGCGCCATGGGGCACCGCGTGCGCCGCTTCTACATCGCATGCCGCGACTCGTACCTCGAGAACGAGGCCGCCCGCCGCCAGCAGGCCCCGAAGGTCGCAGACCAGGCCTGGAACCAGGCCCGGCAGGACGGGATCTTCCTCTTCCACGCCAAGTGCGGGTCCGTCAAGAACTACCTCGACGCACGCCCCGACGTCGGGCGCTCCTTCTACGGCGAGGTCGGCACGCTGATCAATCAAGCGATCCTGGGCTTCCAAGAGCAGACCCACGAGTTCAAGATCACGCACGATATCCCCAAGTGGATGAGCCTTCCAGATTGTCTCGACCACTACGGCCAAACGGCCAGAGGGCTCTTCGAGGTAGGGTTCTGGAGGTTCTTTGACCGCCCGAAGGCGGAGCTCGCGGCCCTCGAGCCGGAGACCGTGCTGCGAGAGCTCGCGCGCATGAAAGACGCCATGCGTTCGTATCTCGTGACCTGCGGTATGGGCAACGTCGAAGACCGGCTGCTGGAAGTCCCAGACGCCAAACGACGCCGGAAGGAGTATGCGGCGCTCCGCACGGCCAGAGCTCTCACTCCGTCCGCAACTGCGTTGCGGATCATCGAAGAGACCCGGAAGAGTAGCGACCGGCCCGTGATAGTCTTAGACGGCGCTACATAGGCCCTCTCGAACAGCCCGATAATGTGCGATGCATATTGGATTGGATTTTTATAATCGATCGTGCGTTTTCTACCCATAAGGCTGCCACCCCGGGCCTCTCGTGTCCGACCATTCCCCGGCTTGCCTCATATCTTGCAGATCAAACGGGTTGCGCGTTACTGGATGGGTCATCCTTCCGGTCGCTAGATGTGCTTCCAGACTGTTTAGATGGTATGCTCTGGACGCCTTGCCGTTTCGATTCCGCTCCGAATCGAAGTAGACGTAAAGGCGACTGATATCGAGCGGCGACGGCGGCTCGTCCAGTGGCATGAAATTGGCGCCGAAGAATTCGGTCCCTTCGTGTATTGCCCTTGCGAGTGGAATAAATATCCCTTGAAAGTGGCCGGCCCTGGTCTTGAGATAGATCTTTGGCCTATTTCGACTCGTGCGGCTCATGTTCCTGAAGCGTTTCAAGATCTGATCCTTCGCCATGTGTCCAGATAATTCTTCCACAGTATTCCACGGCACGCCATATGACACCAAAAATTGACCCCTGTCCATTTCAACCTCCAAGTACATATCTTTGGTATCCCATACCATTCCAAGGACCTCATACTGTGAATCTGGAGCAGCGAGCATGTCGAGCCCGATAGCAACGGCTGCAGCGGGAGTCGGTTGATCCATTCAAATGTGTCTAGAGATTTTACTACATGGGCGTCTCCAAAATCTCATCAGTTCTCTTCAGCAATTCACTATGCGTTCTGTTGAACGCAATAATTATATCAGCAATGTTGAATGGATCCTAACACGGTCGCTGCGGAGTCCGAGGTGACTTCCGATATCATGGCAGTGTGGTATGCTCTGGAGCGTTTGGTGGCCAACTGTCCAAGCCCATCATTCACCGATACAGATAATCAACGATTCGAGTTTGGAAGCAATCTCATTGTTGGATTCAGCAGAGCCATCATTCGATGTGCACAAATTCTGTATCTTCATCAGCCTATGCAAGTTGATGCTCGATAGCGACAATCCCAGGCCAGGCTTTCTCAAAGTCAGTAAAGACAGTGGCAATTGGAGGGCGACGTGGGAAAGTACATGATCAAGCGGTCTTCAGAACCCTTAACTTGTAGATATGTATACTGATTCCTAAATTCAGCAACACCATCAGAAAAACCAACATACAGCATGTCAACACCGCGATGATGTACGGCACGATCGCAGCCAAGATGGGCCGCAGCCATATGTCATTCAACTTCTGGCGGTTCTCCTCAGAAACCCGGACTGACAGTATCTCGTTCACGAAATTCTCGAGCATGTGGACCTACTGTACATGTTGCACAAAAATGTTGCCACATTTCAACAATGCCCCGCGTGCCTGCAACCCTCGATGATGGAGAATATCATTGCAGAGATGCCGGGGAAAATTGTTACAAGGTGATGCAGAGGCTGTGTCAGCGACCCAACGGGTGGGTCGAATTCATGATATATGCCAGTTCGCACCCAAACATCCCGCGCAATATCCGAGAAAGGGCAGCGCTGTATCAGAGTCTGAAAAGAAAAGGTACCCTGTTCGGGCACACGGCAGGACCATTGTGCGAGCGGGTGCTGCGCCGGCAGGGGGCCGCCGAGCATCTACCTCTCTCGACGCGTACCCCTGCGCCGAGGACGCCAACACGGCCGCCGCGACCTCCACCCAGAACCCCACGAGCCCCACAGAGACAGCCCACGAGGGAGAGAATCGCCGCCTCCGTTCACGTGCTGCCCCCACTCGTTCCCAGCCGGGCAAGACGGGTGCTGATACCGGATACAGGTCGCGTGTCCAGCATCTCCGAGCTACCGTTCTCGCTCAACGGGTTCTCGGATGCGACGGTCGATAGGGCAACGCGTCTCGTGAGCGACGGCGCCTTGGCGCCCGCCCCTCTCCAGTACCAAGTCGGCCCCGATTTGAACGGTATGAGCGTCCAACGTCAGGACATGTTGACTCTCCAGCGTCGAGAGACCATAACGGACGATATCGTGAACGGAATGTGCACCCTCATCACCCACGAGGTCCCAAACGCATTCGCTTTGCGTTCGGTCGCGTACAGCCTGGCGACACACTACCAAAATGGCCCATTGCTCTCCGCCAATCACCCGGACGTCGTATCCGGTAGATTGCAGGCGTACTCGATGAACGCCGTGAGCCAGTTTCTTCCACAACAGCCACAGAGGTGGATCTTCGTGCCCATCAATCAGGCCAATTATCACTGGGTTATCGTGGTCTACGATGCACACGAGAGGAAACTAATAGGATACGACCCCCTCTTCAGAACGATGACCGACGAGCTGAACAACGTGGAGCGAATCCTCTGGGATGGGGGTATCTTGGACGGGCCGGTTGAGAAGATCAACGGGACGGATATGCCCCGTCAAACGGATTCCATCAACTGTGGACCGGCCATAATAGTGTACATGTTGGCCATCTCGCGGACCCGAGCACTCCCTGAGCTGTCGGCCCCGGTGCAGAGCTTGGTACGAACGTACACCGCATGCTGCATCTTCAGCAACACCCTGGCGTACACGGGCCAAGGAACCGTAGCTCCGGGCCGAGGGGTGGTCAACATGACCACGAACTCGATCGGAGTCGCAAACATGGTCCTAACAAGGGCGCAGCAGAGGGCTAGGCTCCCACCGCTGCGGGATGAGACGAGCGGGGCCTGGATTCTCGGCCGCGCGGTGCCGAACGTCGTCTACGACTATGACTCAAACGGCAATGCCGCCGAAGAGAAGGTCTTGTCGTTCGGAGCTCCGGGGAGATGGGTGATGATGACCTTTCGCCAATGGGAAGCCCAGCTGCTGTCGGACGTGTGGAGCCCCCAACCGAACCCGTACGACATAGAGACTCTCATCCAATTGCTCAGCTCGGTCCCCTGTCATGCCAGCTGCCAAGGTCTTCTCCAGAAGCTCACAACTGGGGTCTGTCGCCAGAGCTTTCAGTACCTCACGGTCGGTTTAGGCCTCTTCCGGACCCTGCTGACCAATAACAAAGACGACTTGATCAAGGTTCACCAGATGCTGAAGTCCACCTTCTTTGCGGCGCTCTTCTTCCGCAGGTGGAAAGGGCCAGGCAATCCCTACCCATACAACGGTCGAAGCACATACCAGCTCTTGGCAGAGACCAACCTGGCCGGTTGCATTCCCGAGAAGCACCGGATGATTGTGGATGGGCGCGCAGACGGAATGGCCACCGCGCTCCTGAGAAACGTCCTAAGCCTGTACTACAGCCTGTCCAGGGCAGCCTCGAGGGAATTCGCAAAGCTTCCCATCGTCAATCTAGCAAAGGGGGTCGACCCCAACGAGATCGTGCCGGCCCCGATGGTGAGGTCCCCCGACGGCGTCGTCGACATCCACACATTGTTGCAAGCCATACAGGTCACCGCGGAAGGTCGCTACTGTGTGAGAGAGGGTTCACACTTTCTGATAAGATCAGCAAACTACTACTTTCACGTCCTTACGGGCTCGTACATCGTTCCCGCTGAAGAAGTCGCAGATCTCGTGCACCCTTTCATGGCAACACAATAACCCTCTGCTAGTACATGCGACATGCTGTTCCCTTCCTTGGCATTTTGGCAAAGGCAGTCTACGCGTGTCGAGCTTCAAGATCTGTACGACAGGATCAAGAATCTGGAGGCCGCCGTCAAAACCCTGCGACCATGCACGTGCAAGAGACGCACCTCAGGAGACGGACTCCAGCACCTCGCAAAAAGCGGGCACCACCTCCAAAACCCGCTCCAAAGAGGTTCGGAGCTCGTAAGTCTGCCGTTCGATGTTGAACCACCATCTCCGGACCCCCCCATCGGTCTCGCAGACCAATATCCAAGCGCGATCCCGTCTTTTGAAATCCGCAAACACGAAATCGTTGACGCGCAGGGCTCTCCGTCCGGCAACCTCCTCCAAGAATAGTCTGAGTTCGAATGAGAATTCGGCCGGGACGATCGTCAACGAATCTGAACGCCGGACACGCGCCCCCTCCATGATCTGAAGAAAGAGAGCAACGTACGCCATCCTACGCACGCGCTCCAACATACGTCAACGAGGTAAACTCTTTCATGCGCACCGCGGACCGTAGAAAACGGCGCATACTGTAATGGACGAGCTGAAGCTCAGCCTCGGCGTGCTGTCAAAGCTAGAGGCCAATCGCCGCATAGGAAGGAGGGTCAACGGGGTTTTCTGCCTCGAATCCAACCATCAGATCGTCAGCTCAATCCGGAGGTTCGTCCATGGGGAGAACCGCCACGAATGCATGAGGGAGTTGGATGTTGTGATGGCTCACGCCCGAGAGAAGAGCTTAGATCTCATCAATTCGCGATTCTTTGACGAGGGGCCCGTGACGATCGACGTCACGAAAGCGTCGTCCGAACTTCGAGGCCTCGCACTCTATCTAACGAGCTCGATCAAAGGCATAGAGGCGCTGCAATTGACATACATGGGAGATGCAAACACCGTAGCTAAATTGGACCTGATCAGGAACCAAGTGGACGAGATCATCTCAAACATCGACGACTTCTTGGGCCCCAAGAAGTCGAGAGCTGATCCAGAATGAACATCTTGCCAACGTATTTTGGCAACGCCTCGTAAGTATGTTACTTTTAATATATGTGCGTGCAGTAGTGACTATGATTGATATTGAGGAAACGAGAGCCACTCGCATACCCATTGCAAGTGATGGATCGAGAAAACGACCTTTAGCATTGGATCTTTTTTGCGGAGGTGGCGGTGCAAGTATGGGACTCGTTATGGCGGGGTTTGATGTTTTAGGCTATGATATTCGAGAGCAGAGAGAATACCCATTCGACTTTGTAAACGAGTGTGCACTGACTGCAGACGTCTCCAAGGCGGACTTCATATGGGCATCTCCACCATGTCAAATGTTTACTGGTATCATTCCAACGTCAGCGCGTGAAAAATATGGACACTTGTGGGATCATAACAACCTTATACCCCCAGTTCGAGAAAAGTTGACACTCAGTGGAAAGCCATACGTAATCGAGAACGTGCAAGGAGCACGCTCCGAATTGCGAGACCCTGTGATGATCTGTGGGACCATGTTTGAAAGTTTGAGCGTTTTTAGACATAGACTATTCGAGAACAATTTTGACCTACTCGTAGATCTGAACTGCAATCATATGGGTAAAAGTCTCGGAAATCGTTCTCCAAAATCCAAGTCAAATGTCAAAAACGTCATCGAAATCCCTTTCGGCAGCCCACCCATAGACATACACATAAAACCTGGTGAGTGGAGAAGAGAACACACTACAAGGACGAGCGGACAATCATCCGGAACGACCGACGCGTATTATTTTTCTCCTGAAGGTGTGAGATTCAGATCCATTCGCGAAATCGAAAGATATTTTAATTGCGGGGTGACAGTCTTTGAAGCGGACCAACCTCCCAGAACATCACATATTTACAACAGAGGTCCTCGAGTCAAACATCTAAATCATGAAGATATTCAAATGTTTCCTGTGTACGGCAATCCCGGGAGCCAACGGGGGACCGTAGAGGATTGGTCTAATGCAATGCAAATAGATTGGATACGGTCTGCCAAGACTCTCGCTCAAGCAATACCGCCGGCGTATTCAGAATACATCGGACGGAAGGTTCTAGATGGTCTAGGCTACGTACTAGATTACCCGCCCTTTTTCCAATGATGAAACTATTCCACAATGCTCGAAAAATCGAACGCAAAGTCTAGTTCCCCCTCCCTGGGTTCGACGGGTATCGTAACCCACTTTTCGACCTCCTTTTGGAGTGCGACAGGATCCTCCTCCCCAACGGCCGCCGCCAACGTGATGATCACTGCAAGAACACCTTTGTCAGCATCGTCGAATGTGAAATATGGGAAACAGGCACATGGATGAATAATGTGTGCTCATCATTCGTTCGAACAATTGCACCGAAGCTCCCTCACCTCGACAAAGCCCTGCCCGCTTTCCAATGAGCGTCAACAGCGTTCTCCAACTGTTGAGCTTCCCCAACTTCGATCGCCGGGGTAGTCCAGACCAACGGTTCGCGTCAAAGCAGAGGTTCAAGTCCCTCGCTACCCCGTCGCCTCGCAGCACTCGACGCAGCCTTGTGCAATGGCCAATGACCACCCCTGCAAGCGGAGCCGTTGAGATTAAAAGAAGTCACCCCCACATGCAAATGAACATGCAACTGGAACCGTGCAATGTCTTCCCAAACACGGATGCGAAAAAGGGTCAGGGCGTCACCTGCTTCTTCAGATCCTGGAGCCCGTGGCATCCCGCCCGCTCCCCCGCCCCCGTTTCCGCGGGTGTTCCTACCTGAACAAGAGGAATATCGTGTGGGAACGCGTTCTGTGTGAGATATACAGACGTTGTTGAACGGCCAACAGATGACGTATCCCGACCAACCACAGACACGAGCTTTTACTCACGCTTGGTGATGCTTTCAGGCAGCCGTGTGGTCGTTCCATCCTCGTTTAGGACTCGGATGGACTCCTTCCACTTCTTTGACCGTGGCCGGCCCACATGCCTCTCGAAGTCGATGGGGTAGAAACGTCCCTCTCCACCTACATAGCACACAAAGGATTCGATACAGAAATCGATTCGTTAGGATTTCGACCAGATACCGGATACAGACAGACAGAAGCATTGCCCTCGTGAAGATATGCTTAAGGGACATGAAGCTTACCACATTCCTCGACTTGACAGTCTGGGCTGCAGACGACCAAAGGCTTCACATGGGGGTGCTGC